CTCTCTCCATCACTATTAGTCACTAGTGCCTCATATGGGACTTGCAACGGCCCTCTTAATAGCCTCCCTCATCCTCTCTATCTCAATGAAGTGAGCCTCTACCTGGGTGGCTCTCTCACGAGCTACTCGCTGGTTAGCCTCTACCACAACAACCCTCTCCTGAGCTATTTGTAGCTCGGACTCAACTTTAACGGCCCTCTCGTGAGATGCCCGCAACACTGATGCTACTCTCAGAAAGCTAGCCACCCTATCAGTTTTCAGCTTTGCAGCCCTCTTATGGGACGCCAAAAACTCCACCTTAAGGATCACAACTCTCTCATGAGCCAATCTCGACTGTTCCTCAACAGCCTCTCATACCTATTTCTCCTATGTCAGAGCCCTTGATGCCTTTCCAAGCTTGATTGGCCTTGAAAAAAGGTAGGAAAAAGCAACAACAACCTACAAGCATTCAAAAAGTATAACATGAAAGAAAATGGGCAAGTACATAAATCAAGGTCGAATAGAAAAAAGGCATACCATGGCAAATCCCTCCATCGTGGTATTTATAATGCCTTCTGAACCTCTAAAGCCGACCTCTCTAGTATACTCGGGAGTCACAAACCTCCAAAACTACTCCTTGGCCAAATTCACGTCCTACAACATGGACATCGAGCCATTACTAGAAGCAGGGTAGCTATGTGGAGCTCTAGTACCTGTAGAAGACCGCACAGGAGTCTCAACTCCAACAACAGTACTAAAGCTAGGTCTAGTACACGAAGGAGTTGCAGCCTGGGAAAGAGTAGGGGCACCATCGGATCCCACCTCCCGGGAAACAACCTAGTCATTGGACCTCGGCTGAGAAGCACTGTGGGCATCAACCTTCACTCTTTTAGGAGGAGGGGAAGACATCACCCTAGAAGCATAGAGAGCCTACACCATCGCTCTATTAATAGTGGTACCGATGAAACTGGTATGAGAAAAAGAATCTGTAACATTGTAGTCATCAAAGGTTATTGGAAAGATCAAATAACTTTCCTCTTTTGCCTAGAGGAGGCTCTGGGATGACCCACCGTGGACATGAGGGTCATAAACTCCTTAATAGGATGATCCCACATGGTCTGGAGCTTACTCTCCTGTCCGCAAATAATGTGGGTGAAGCAGCAAGGGAACCAAACATGCAGTTAACACAAGGACGTGACATTAAAATATGCAAGCAAGGGGAAAACTCAGACCTAGCTTGATCTTCAAAAGATTATCTCACCTCGAGTGCATCAGGTCACGATCCTCCTCAGTAGCCCACTCACCTCCAACAAAGAAAAACCTAGATTTTCAGATGTGGCAATTTGAAGATAGCCCAATAATAAATTTACTGGACCTCAAAGTAAAGTGGTATCATCATTGATGAGGAGTAGGATTATCTAGAAGCACATACGAGACCAATAACTCCTCGAAAGGCGGGAAGCGTCCTCACCGTGAACTAACCTCCATAGTGAGAAGAGCGACAAAATTACCCTCCAATCATTCAGAGCCAGTCTCCTTAGAGCGAGTGACAAGTGGACCAGGATCCAATAGATAGGCCTAGGTATAGGAAATCTCAATCCTACCTCTAAGACATCCTAGTGAAAAATGATCTTTCCCGTTGAGTCATAACATGCCGACTCATCTTTCTCGACTCGAAGTCACATAACGGCAGGAGGGATATGGAAAGACAAAACAATGCAGGCGATGTCATCATCACAATCTATAGAGCTAAAGGTAGAGGTTGCCTTCAAACCATCGTTGCCAATGGTACCTTTGCCTCGTGGGGAATTCATTGCATTGTTCCTTATCATACCTCTATCAGAGTAGACGATTGTCAAAATTAAGGCCAATGTCAAGGAAATCTCAATATTTGGCAGTTGCTAGACCTACAGAAACATCAAAGGGCAAGCAAAGTCACCTCATCTTCATAAGTTCTTGCATTGATGCCCGTGTCCCCGTCTGGCCTGTGCCCACCATCGCCCAGCCCACTCGCGCCACTTGGCCTGTGCCCGTTGTAGCCCAACCTGCTAGTGGCCTATGCTAGCAGTCGCCCAACACCCTTTTGGCGTCGCCCTGCACCTAGCTGTAGTTGCCCATTATCTGGCTAGCGTTGCCCAGCTGCCTACTGGAGCCGCCCAATTGTATGGCATAACCCAGCTGTCTGTTGGCACCGCCCAGCTGTCTGGCATCGCCCAGTAGCCTATTGGCACCGCCTAGTTGCCTGGTGTCGTTCAGCCCTCTCTCGGTGTTGCCTCTTTCCGTGGTACTACCTCTTACTCACTTGGCGCTGTTACCTCCTTCATTGTTGTCTAAGTCGCCAACTGAACAGCCTTGTGGCTCGCCTCTCTTCTCTTTCGATATGTTTTCCCCCAAAGCACCACCTATAGAGCTCCTTTTCTCCATCCTCTTCCAACCTTTGATGGAAACTCCTAACTTTTAAAGAGGAGAACTTTTGATTGAAAAAGGGGATGGAGTGGTTCAAGGTATAAATGTTGACCTCTAAGAACCTGAGGGTTACCCCCCTAGAAAGGAAAAAAGGTGTTTTTATTGCCAAGGGGTGGGGTTTCTTCAAGCTTAGTAGAAAACCCGGGAAAAGCTTGTTTAGCAAAGTGAATAAGGAAGTATGTTTTGAGAAAAGTGAAGAGTGTAGTGTGAAGGAAGGTATTTGGTCCGCCTAAATGAGGAACACACTCATGCCCTTAACCTCTTGTCTCTGCAAGGGCTTGCGGCATGTGGGGCAAATGACGAGCCCAGATCTAGCTGAGTTCAAGCCCAATTCATGGTAAAGCCCAAATCAATTAAAAAGCAGGTCAAGCCCAGCTCAAGGCCTTAGCTCAGTCCAGCTCAGTCCAACTTTCAAGAGTCTTAAGTAGGGGTATCCATGGGTCGGGCCGAGCTAAGCCCACGAAATTTTTTTCGGGCCGGGCTTGGGTAGTATTAGCCCAAGCCCTTACCCAAGTGAGTTATCGGCCGGGGCCGGGCCAGGCTTCGAGTGAATAGGCTACCCGCAACCCAACCTAAGAGCCTATTGGTCGGGCCTGTGGGGGGGGTGGGGGCTTGCTGGGTGGGCCTGCTTGCGGGCTTTAGTAAAATCAATATTAATAAAAATAAAATAATGAACTACATTCAATAGAATAAATAAATCTCAACTAGGTTGACACCTACTAACTTATCTATCATTTGTATTATTCTACAATTTAAAACTTATATATTTAATACATGGAAAAGAAAATAATACATTATTTATAATATCTAAAATTTTAAAATTTCAAATTTTAATATTGGGAGACTTATTTCAAAATTTAAAATTTAATGGTCTAAATGTATAATTTTTTTTTAAAGGAAAGGTGGGCTAGGTTGGGCTTGCTGGCGGGCGGGCTTGACAGGTGGGTTCTTGGGTCGGGCTTCGGGCCGGGTAATGGGTTTTGGGGCAAACCCAAGCCCTCTTTTTAAGGATATTGGGTTTGGGCTCGGGCGGGCCAACTATTGGATCTATCAGGCTTCGGGCCTATTTTTTTCGGATCGGGTAACGGGACTCGTGGATAACTCGGCACATGGACACCCCTAGTCCTAAGGTGGTCAACACACGTGGGAAGTAAACGTCGGGATAACCATTGCACAAGGATCACACCTTTCCTTAATTGTACCTATCTCTAGTAGTAGCTATCCTTTCCTTAATTGTACCTATCTCTGGTCTTCACGCCACCGCCTCAACTAGGATTTTATGCCTATAAATTGTAAGTCCTCCACACATAAGGGACACCTGTCTCTCTCTCGCTCTCATAGCTATCTCACATACACTACACCCAGAGTTTATCTTTTCTCTCTCTCTCTCTCTCTCTCTCTCTCCCTCCCTCACACACATACTACTTTATTAATAAAGTTCTTTAGCCACCGTTATCACTTTCAGTGGTTTGGTTACCTAAACCCAATCACCCAATATTTGTTTCTTATTATTAACTATTTCATTAATTACCATGTATCATACACTTAACTGTTTGATTGTGCATAGCCTAATTTGTGCATCATCACAAAATAACTCTTATTTTAAACACTATTTTATATATTTATATGCCATGTATCAAGCAATTAATCCCATGTTTCATACACCCTCATTAATTTAGTTTGTCTTTTCACCAATGGAAACATTTTGGAGTCGAGTTGACCTGAGCCACTACTTTTTTAATTCAGTTCACTTATAAATGATCTTAGAAATCTGAACAAAATTCATTTCATTATACATCAGGAATGGAGTCTGCAGGCCCCAAAATCTAGCTGCGATTTGAGATGGTACACATCCCTGATTTAGCATTACGTTCCTGAGATTTGGCCTAGAGATGTAAATTATGATGTATTTGGATATTATATAATGGATTTGTAACCAGTCACATAAGTTGAATTGGAATAGTATTCTCAATTTCTCATGGCTGCATAGCAATCTCTTAAAGCTAATTGTTTCAGGAACTGAAAGGTAGAGAGAGCAGTTCAGATAATCTGTATGATCAATCTTTGTCATGCCAGATGTATATTTTGTCCCTCTCTTTGAGAGTTCTATATAACCTCTCTTTCGGGCTTCTTTTCATTTCTCTGTAGGTGGTTTTTCCTCGATTATCTATTCATTGATCAAAATTGTAATAGTTGATTGTTAATAGTGATCTACCGACGTATATTTAAAAGGAGAGAAGATATCAATGGATTTGGAAGCAAAATTTTCTCAATAGAAATACTTTTATTACTTCACACAATTGCATTGCCACTCAAGATGATAAGATTCTGCACCAACATAGGACGGAGAGTTCTAGATTATATCGACTGGAGCACCACTTGAACTCCATGTTGGGGGCGTATAGTGAGAAACGGAAAGGGTGAGTGGACATAAGATGGCGAAAGAGTGAACTTGTAACGTTGCAGGATCATTGAGAGTACAATCTTTGCTTCAGTATTTGCAAAGTTCAAGCCCACACACGTTCGAGGTCCATAACCAAATGGAAGAAAAGCCATCATGTTGTTATTTGTTGCTTTAGCCACCCTTCCAAAAATCTCTCTGGCTTAAAGAGGTGAGCATCTCGTCCCCATATTTCGGGGTTCAGGTGGAGTGCTAGAGGTGGAATAAAAATCTCTATATTAGGTGGAAGAACAAGCTTCCCCAGTCTAACTTTGCTTTTCACTGTTCTTGGAAGTGTAGTAACTGGAGGGTATAGCCTCAATGTTTCACAAATGATCATGTTGACCTACAAGAAAATTAAGAGAGAGGGGAACAAGTTAGATACTGAATTGCAAAAGGGGGCTACAAGCTGAACAAACAAAACTTAGTTGTTTTAATTTGCTTACAATCTTTAATTTCGCGATTCCCTCAGGATTGGGAGTTTCTTTGCCGAAAAGTTCAAGGACCTCTTCCCTGGCTTTCTGTTGCCAATCTGTGTGGATTGCTAGAAGAAGAATGACCCAAGTTAGTGAGCTGCTAGTTGTTTCATGTCCCGCAAGGTAGAATGTCTTGCACTCATCAATCAGATCATCTAGCGAAATCCTGTTATTCTCATCCTTGTCACGATAGATGTTTATCAGTGATCCAAGAAAATCATTCCCATAGCTATTTGCTTCTCCATTCTTGATTTTCTCTTCCCTTTTATTTACAATTGCTATAATGGAGTTACGCAGTGATTGTTCAAGTTCATCTGACTCAATATCATCCGCTGTTTTGTATAATTTTCTGTAAAAGAGAGCGTAGATTAATTTACGCCCAAACAAAATATTCAGATGTCAATTGGCAATTGCCCCATAATTAAGAGACTCCCAAGAAGCAGAAGGAAAACACTAACACAGGTAAGTGAAACACTTTTTCTAACTACATTACTGTCAAATAAAATTTAGTTGTAAGAATTAGTGAACAAGATTCTACTCAAGGTTATGACCAGCTAACAATGTAATACTTGTACTAGTAGTTGAAGAACAAGAGTGAAGACAGCAGGGGATGCTGCAACAACGTTAGAGAGAGAGAGAGAGAGAGGGAGAGAGGTATAGGTGAACATTAACTAGGATGTGTAGTTATTCTGTTCATCAAATGTCAAGTGTAAAACATCCTGATTGACTGCTATTAACTTGTAATAGACATAGTTAAACAACTGAAAGAATACTAATGGGGTAAGACGAAGCTTACTCGGGGATGGGAAAACGTACTTTCCCATCGTTTCTGAAAAGTACTATGCCCAACTTCTCCAACATCTCAAATATACTTTTCCCTTCCAAGTAACTGCTTCCAAAAGCTGTCTTTGATATCACTTCTGATGTCAAAACACTGAATGCTTCATATACCTCTGTCTCCTTACCTACATTATGTCTCCATCCTTCGAGCATTGCTTCTACACTTGCAATCATTGTTGGAACCATCTCCTGAATACAAGGCCATCCTTTGAAATTATTATCACTTAACGTCTTAACCTACTTTGATATTAAATCTGACCATGATTAAAAAACTGTTTCATTAATAGGTAGAAGAATATCAAACCTTCAAACTCTCAGCATGGAAAGCATGGTTTGCCAGTTTGCGTAGCTTTGACCATTTTTTACCTTCTGTAACTACGAGCCCATCTCCTATTAACTTCTTCGCATGACTTTGGAGTTTAACTTTTGGAAATGCACCATTTTTATTGCTTAGTATCTCTTTTATTAGCTCAGGTTCAGTAACAACCAATTGAGCTTGAGGACCATTCCAAAAAAGAAAATGCTTCCCTGTTCCAATAGCAATAATTAGTCTTCGAAACTCTGTCTAGGATTAAGGATTCATGACTAACACTTAAACAATGTTTAATTAACGAGTTCTTACCATATTGCTTGATCCACGAGTACATGTGAGGCTGAATCCTGGAAAATATGTCATGTGACAAGTCCATGGGACGGATCATGGATATTTTTTTCAGGTTAATCATCTCTTTGTTGTTTCCATGGAAGAATTCATAAGAAGGGCCTTTGACTCCTTGAGACCTCATGACATATTGAATGTAGATTGGAGTCAACCATACCTTGTGGAAGAACTTGATCAGAATTAGGAGGAAAAGTGAGCAAACAAAACCTGAAACAAAGGTTATCATGGCTTCAAAACACAACCAAGTCTTGTTGTTTTGAAAACAATGAACTTGTTAGCAACTATATACACCTAATATTCTTGGTTGATGCATAAAAATATTGATCTCTTGGGAATCAGTGAAATGAAACTAAATGACAGTCTTGGCTAAATCCCGAGGAGAGGCGATAAAAACAACATAATAATATAGTTGATTGAACAAGTTAGAACAAAGGCTAATACTTTTGTTTTAATCGACTGGCTGATTAAAACTGAAACCTTTGTCCTTGTTCCGATAATCTCTTACTCAACTCAACAATCTCGTGGAAATCACTTGGGCTAAGGTCACGAGAGATTTAACTCTCATGAATACCCTAGTCCGGCGTAGATAACCTGTCTTGGACTGAAATGGAGAGGAAATTAGTCGATGTATACGTAAGCTGACCTAGATACCCTGGATTGTTGAACCAAATAAAATATGAAAAGAAAAGAAAAGAAAAGAAAAGGCTTTGTCTCCATTTTTTGAGGTCGGCTATATGAATCTTGTTATTCTGTTGTGCCACTTTTGTTTCACATTGCTCCAATCACAAATGTCTATTATCTTTTTTTGATGAAAATCGCTGACGTGTCAAGTAGAGTGAAAACAATCACATAGTTTCAGGGGCAAAATAAAATAACTTTCCATTAAATATGTAATGGACGTTAATAATTAGGGCAATATGAAACTAATCACATAGTTTATGGTGCAATATGAGAAATATGGTAGTTAAAAGGGCAATGTGAAAAAGTGATTGTTTAGGGGGTGTAAGTGTAATTTTACCCCAAAGACATTAATATAGTATGAATGATAGTAATACATTGGTAAAGTTAGAACCTAGAAGGCTTATCCTTTTGTTTTAGTGGATGATGATGAATTGTTTCCGTTGATAACCTTGCAGGAAAGTGACTGGCTGATTAAACCGAAACCTTGGGCCTTTGGCCTGGTTCCAATAATCTCCCATTCAACTAAGCCTTTATCTCCCATTAAAGTTTTATATTAATTGTCCGTTACTTAATGTAATCATCCTTATTTATTCGAGCTTGAAACCGCCCGTGTGTAAAAGTTAAACGCTAAAATAACACAAGTGGAGTTTAATAATCCCTTGTATGAATATAAATTATAGTTCACTAAATTGCCGTATTGGCTTGAAACTTCTATTTAATATTGTATTTTCTCTATCTCTCTCTCCCTCTCTCCTTCTATATATATATATATATGTGTGTGTGTGTGTATATATATGCTTGGCACATATAATTAGGGGTGTTCACCTACCCTACGGGTATGAAATATGATTTTTTATCTTCTTATCCAATATTTTGTGAAAGAATTTTTTCTTAGTCTACCCTATCCGATCAAGTGTGGTATTCTTACCCAATCGGATAGGAAATCGGGTGAACACTTTTCAAATTATTAATTATTGGATTATTTTAATAATTCAATTAAATAACATGCACAAATTTAACAATATAATAAACTAATAACACTAAAAGCTAAAATAATTACATTAATATATATATTAATGCGGGTAGAGTAGGATAAGAATACAAAAATAAATGACTATATTGCATTCCTACCCAATTTAATCGAAAAATCAAAAATTCTTCCGTATTCCTATCCGATTTTTTTCGGGTAACCGTTCAATAGAGTCAATTAAATTAAGAAATTACAAGCAATCTTACATACAATATGCTTTCCCGGGAATGGATCTAGGATTTTATGATAACAGGTGCCAAATAGGTACGGTGGCACGATCAGAAATTTTATTTGATAAGTCAAAAAAAAAAAAAAAATTTACTTACTATCATAAAATTTAAATATGTGATCTTTCTTGGATTGTGTCAGTGATAATATATTTGCCTGCTTTATAATTGGGTTCAAAGCAAGTAACAACCCATTTCTCAGAACTTAGAATCACGAATATGGAAACATGATATATGTGATGTGATAGATAACAAAACTTAAAAATAAATATATTTTACATCTAAAATGGAATATATTTTTATAATTTTTTAAAATTTTGTATGTAATATATCTTAAATTTTAAAATTTCCATGTGTTTTATTTTTGTTATTATCTGATGATTAATAAATACAATTTTCAGTAATTTTTTTTTTTTTTCATAGCAATCCGAACTATCAGTAATTTTTAGTTTCAAAAAATATTAAATAGCCCCACATATATATAACCACGAAGTGCATGTCTAATTCAAAGAACTCTTATTCAATAATTATGAGTGTTTAGATCAATTTAATTAATCATTTCTTTGGTTCGATCATAGTTAGGCAAGTCATTTATGTTAGACTAAAATATTCATAAGAGATAAGTCTCTCATGACCTACTCTTAAAAAAATTACTAAAATTGAAACTTAAATGAAAGAAACACAGCCACGATGTTATTTGATTCTCAAATTATGTAATCCAAGCTAGAATTAAAGATTGGCTTGAGTGACATCTGAACTCTCTAATTCGAGTTGAATTCAGAGAATTTATAACTCCTATACAAGTATTACCCGAGTTTAAAAGTCATTTGACGTATTAAAAATATTTGTTAAAATATAGAATATTTGTAGCTATACTCGAATTGGATTCACTCACTTGCACCCCCTAACTCTAGAAATGTGGAATCTCTTGATCAAGGGAGTGTTCCATTATCATACATATAGGTGGTGTTTGGTTCACCATTAGAGGATTGGATTGGATTGGATTGGATTAGAATCCGAATTCAACCCAATCCAATGCAAAGTGGTTTCGGATTAAAAGATTATAAAGATGGGATTCAAATCCTATCCCATCTTTGGATAGGATTCATTTGTAATGTGGGCTCCATTAACATGTGAAGATAAAATATGTTAAAATGACCATTTCATCCTTGTGTAAACAATGTGATCCAATCCTATACCATGTTTGGAATGGGATGAAAAAAAAAAAATTCAATTTATTAATATTGTTTTTTTTTACAACAAAAAATATGAATCAATAAATTACACATTTTTACAAAATATACCAATAAATATGTTGTTTAGTTATTTAATTAAATTTGTACAATACACTTTTAATCACAAAAATCATATGCATCATGAAAAAAAAAAATTCCAACACAAAAACAATACACGTATCGATACAACTCAAGCCTAAGTCGTTATTTGTTTATTTATAGACAAGCCGGAGTTGTGTGTTTAAAAATAAAACTTAATAATTTTTTTTTTCAATAAATAGCAAAATTAATTTGAACCATATTAAATTTTTTCAATGATCCAAATGCAATTTATTTTTCATGAATTTAAGGACATTTTAATATTATTGCCTGAATTAATACTACAAATCAGGTCAATTTAAAATAGGAAAAATTTCAATGACACTCCCTCTAATTTATCATATTTTCAAGAACACCCCCTCTAATTTCTGAATCTTCAATAACACCCCTTCTATTTTAATTTAAACATCACTAACACCCTTACCATTAAACTATTATTTCTAACAAAATAAATTTACCTAAAATATCAAAAATGCCCCTACATAACCTCAAGTAAATTTTTTACAAAAAATTTTATTAAAATTTGAGCTGTTAAAATTTTTAAAACAATCATAAATAACAATTTTAGTAAATACTAATATTTTATTTACTAATTAGTAAATTTTTTTTAAAAAAAAATCGAGCCTATTAAATTTTTTTTTACATATTAAAATTTGAGCCTATTTGAACTCTATCCGAGTTGTTAGGGCCGATTAAAATTCTCTTTCGAGTCGATTATAATTTATATTTTTTTCTTATTAAAATTTGTGTCAATTAAAATTAGATTTATTAAAATTTAAGTCAATTAAAATTCATATATTTTTATATATAAAAATTTAGACTGATTAAAACTCAATGTGAATTAATTAAAATTTGATTTGAGTCGATTAAAAATAATTTTTAATTGGCTCAAACAAAATTTTAATTATTCCAAATTCTAATATCTAAAAAAAATATAATTTTTAATAGGCACAAATTTGAATATATGTAAAAAAATAAATTTTAATTAGCTTGAATCGAATTTTAATCGATTTTAATTTAATTACGTAAAAAAAATTAGAAAACAGAAGGGTCTCATTGAAAATATACTTATTTAGAAGGGGTATCATTAAAGATATATTTATCTAGAGGTCAGTGCGAATGAAGTTTGTCCTCAAATATATCAAAGACAATTTAGTAAAATTGTATTTTACTAAATATTTTTAATCTAAAAGGAGGTGTCATTGAAGATTCAAAAACTAGAGGAGATGTCTTTGAAAATATGGTAAATTACAAGGGGGGTGTGGTTGAAATTTTCCCTTTAAAATATGTTGTTTTAATTAAAATGTTAATTTTTTTTAGAGTTCATCTCTAAAATATGTCTGTGATTTTTTAATGAGATTCAAACCCTTTTATTTAAACTTGACTTAGACCGAATATTTTCGCACGTTTACTCTCAAAATTTATGTAATTAAATATCGAACGTCAAAAATTAAGTAATATCTATTTAGAAGAAAAATTATAATGTAGTATATAATATAGAGTATAATCAATTTTTTAATAATTTTTTTTTCTATTTTGTTTAAGTACACAAGATCAAAAAAATGGAAATTTTTTAAATTTATTTTAAACACATGCCAAATTTTATTTTTTTGTTGTTTCAATAATAAAAAATAAAAAAAAATTCAGCAAGAGAGATAGAGAGATGGAAGTCAAATGTTGAGGGTAATAATGTAAAATAACATGTTATTTCATATGTGGCTTCATCCGAGTAAATGAATCCCACATGCTAGGTGGGTTTCATTTATCCAGTTCAAAAAGATTAGTTCATGAATTCCTACGGCTGAGTAATTCAATCCCCAACGTTTATCTCATTGTATTTTTTGGATCCACTGGGATATGTAGGCCCGTATTTGAATCCAATCTAACATGTCCTATCTACCTTTATCCTTCCAAACAAACACCACCATATAGGATAGGCACATGAGGATATTGATAAAACTAATCCTACTGACTAGTACAAAATGACCCTCTAATACTTCCCCGCAAGCTATGCGGGGGTGGAAGCACGCATATATTGTATCTCATTTCTTTAAATTTAGTGGCAGGCAAATTTTTTGTGAAGATATCCGCTAATTGATTATGTATGGACACATAAAGAATGCAGAGTTGAACCAAAGCAACATGTTCACAAACAAATTGAATGTCCACTTCAATATGCTTTGTTCGAGCATGTTGGATAGAATTGGCAGTCAGGTAGCTGGCATTGATATTGTCACGATAGACAGTGGTGAGCTGTTTAAGGGGAACATGCAAATCACGGAGAAGAGATTTGAATCCAATAAGTATCAGCCATGGCATAAGCAATAGAGCAATATTCCGCTTCAACACTAGAGCGGGAGACGGTGGGCTGTTTCTTAGCACACCATGAAACAAGATTGGAGTCAGAAGAACCAGCCCAGACAGAGTTAGAATAAGTCATAATTTGATCAAATTGACTTTTTTATAGTTGAAGGCCATAGTGAGCAGTCCCTCAAAGATAACACAATATATGCTTAGCGGCCAAGAAATGAGACTCTCTAGGGGCATGCATGTATTGGCAAACATGATGAACCGCAAAAGCAATATCCGGGTGAGTGAAAGTCAAATAATGTAATGCACCAACCAAGCTACGGTAATTTCAGGGGTCCGAATAAGGAGGATCACGTGCCGAAGATGGAGAAGACTTGTTGGTTAGAGGAGTGGCATGATGTAATTGATTCCTTTCTAAAAGATCCTTGGCATACTTATAATGCGATAAAAAATCACCATCTGAATTGGATGTGACCGTAATGCCAAGAAAATGATGTAATGTGCCCAAGTCACTCATGGAGAACTTGGACTTGAGCGAGGCGTTGGCCTCATGTAACAAAGATTGTGACGAAGCCGTTAGAAGGATATCATCAACATATAAAAGGAGAACAACCATATCATTGTTACGATGGTAGATAAATATGGAGAAGTCAAATTGACTATAGATAAACCTTGATGAAACAAAAAGCTAGTAAAACACTGAAACCAAGCACGAGGTGCTTGTTTTAATCCAGAGCTTTGTTCAATGGACAAACATGAGTTGGAAATTGGGGATGAACAAAACCTCCAGTTCCTTCATATAGATAATTTTCATGAGTTCACCATGCAAGAACGAATTTTTGACGCCAAGTTGACGAACAGGTCAACCACCAGAGAGTGCTAGAGAAAGAACAGTTTGAATTGTATTGGGTTTGACAACCAGACTATAAGTCTCATCATAATCAATGCCAAGTTGCTAATTAAAACCCTGAGCAACAAGGCGCACCTTATAAAATTCCAAAGATCCATTAGAGCGTTGTTTAATCTTATAGACCTACTTGGAGCCAATGAGATTGGTAGAACATGGTAGAGGTCCTAAAGACCAAGTTTGATTTTGCAGAAGAGAATTATATTCGTCAAGCATGGCGTTGCACCAGTGCTGATGTTTAATTGCTGCAGTGAAGGAATGGGGTTCTAGAGGTATATCCGAAGAAGTGGAATGGGTGAGCAAAGACGGTAAAACATAGGGCCGACGTGTACCATCTTTGTTTTGGGTTATCATCGGATGTTGAGAAGGTAACAGAATAGACACAAGGGGACTGGGGAATGAGCATGGAGGTGAAGTTTGGATAGGGAGGGATGGATTGTCATCTGGTGTCTGAGTAGTAGAGGATTCCAGAGATAGAGATAATGGACGATTAGAAGATGAGGATTGGAGGGACATTCAGATAAGGACTGTTGGGGTTTTAGCTAGGAGCCGGGAATTTGAGGACACTGGAGATAGAGATAAGGGTGGACCTAGGATAGGCAGAGGCAACTGAGGTGATAAGTCTGGAGTATCGAGTACATGAGGAGGTGCGGAGGGGATAAGGGACAAAGAGTACTTAGCAAGATGGGAAGACAATTGCGTGGAAAAGAAAAGAGTCCAAAGATTAGAGGGAATAAGTGGATTTAAGTGATCAATTGGTCTGCTTAGAGATAATGAAGATGAGTCCAACTGAGAAGAAGAATTTCGAAGAAAGAAGGGAAAAAGAAATTGTGTCTCGTCAGAAGTCACATGCCGAGAGATAATAATTTGACCATGGGAGGGATCAAAACACCTATATCCCTTACGAGATTCTGAGTAGCCAACGAAGATACAAGGAGCAGAACCGGGATAAGATTTTTTAGCATTTTTAAACAAATAAATAAATGGGTCTAACATATGGTTTACTGTGTTAACCTGACCCTACCCAACACGATTCGTTTAAATTAAAGGGGTTAAATAAGTCGTGTCGTGTTATACGTTTATTAAACGGGTCATGTTTGTGTTGAAAATTTTTACCCGTCTTTTGTTTAGCCCGACACGTTTGACATTCCTTTCTCTCTCTTTCTTGGTATATGGGAAAATAATTTGATTCCATTCTACATACCAAAGATATTCAAGATAGAGAAAATAATTTAAAAATAATCTTACGTTTCATTTTAATCGCCTAAACAATCAGAATTTTGGAACCTTGTGCCTGTTTTAGGTATGACACGGTGGTGTCGCTGGGAAATAAAGAAGAAGACCATCATCTCATCCTTTAGAACCTCGTTCCTGTTTTAGGTATGACAGGCAAGGGCGGATCTACTAGTGGGCTAAGTTGGGCTGAAGCCCAGAATTAAAAAAAAAAAAAAAAATTACCATTAAGTACCAACCCACCCCCCAAAAAAAAATCTCATTCAATCCAACCCAACCCAGCCCACCTGCAAAACTTTCCCAAAATCAGTCGATCTACGTCTTCTCTAAGTCACTTCGCCTTTCCCAAAATCAGTCGATCTCTCTCTTCTCTCAGTCACTTCCCCTAAAATTAGTCGGTCTATTTCAGTTTCTTCTCTCTCAGACGGTCTCTCAGTCACCTCCCCCATCCCTCTTCTACCCAAACACCATCCAAATAAGATTTTGAAGACTTCGGTGGTTGAGAAAATCGATCAATCGCGCCCGAAGATTCTAACTATTTCTTCTCCGGTACAGAAGAGTGTTGATCAAAGTGATATGGAGATGGTTGGGGGATTTCTAAAGAATTGTTACTATTGCAAGAAGAAGATTCTTGAAGATGTTGAAGTTTTCATGTATGGGTAGGGTTTCTCCACTCTTCTGTTCCTTTTTTTTTTTTTTTTTACTTATTTGTGCATTTTGAACTCCATTATTTTTTGAATTTGATTCGGTTAATTTACATTTATGCTTCGTCTGATTAATTTCAATCTAGTTGTTGGTCCAGTCTCAATAGCCTCTCTTGTCATAGCCACAATGCTTAGTGAGGCGGTTTCTTATACTGAGGAGCCTATTGTTTATCTTTAATTGGCTTTCACTACTATTTTATTTGTTGGTTTATTTTAGGCTGCTTTGGGTTTTCTAAGGTATAAACAATTAGTAGCAATCTAAACTTAGTATTGTGGATCTTTTTTTTATGTTCAATATCCATTTTGTTTTATGAGGATTGATGAAATTCTTTTTTACAAATGGAGATTACTTTCTCAATAAAGCCAAAAGGAAACACCTTTTGAGAAAGATATGCCTTTTGGTATAATTTATCACTGTAAATCATAAAAAACTTTAGATTTAGAATAATGGTTATGTCCTAGAGTAACACCTCTAAGATGAAATTATTAGTACTGGTATGATTGAAAGGGAAACAACTGGGCTTAAAGAATCAATGTAGTAGTTTAGTAAATCTAATTTCACTGCTATCTTGATTCTGTTAATCAATGTTTTGGGTGAGGCTCTGAATCTATATTGAATGTGTATTCGGTGATTTACAGGTTAGGATTTATGATTGATTTTCTCTCCAAGGCAACTCTTGTTGGATTCATGGCTGGTGCGGCAATCATAGTTTCATTGCAACAACTGAAAGAATTGCTTTGGATAGTTCACTTTCACCACCAAAATGCAGATAATTGTTGTTCTATCTTCTGTTTTACAGCAAAAAGATGAGGTAAGAAGCTTCACTAAATATTTTTTAATTCGAAAAATTGTGCAATGAGGTCATTTAGCTAAGGTGCTACTTTTGTTGCCCTTTGTTAGTAGTTTCATTTTGCATACAAATGCGAAAAGTACTCTGAAAATCACAAATATCTGGTGGCTAAAGTTTTAGGAGCGATTCGCAATTCAATTAATCTATACAGCTCAATAGTTCAAAATGATTTCTAATAGGATTACAAACAACTTCTATTTGGAGAAATCAAAAAGCTTTCTCTGAGGCTGATAGAGACCTATCTAATAAACTGAGAATTTCTACTGTCATTTCATATTTTGTTAGTCGTATGAATGCTTAGCTTAACCCAGGATAAACAAAAATTCTGGCTCCACCCTTGATGACAGGGTGGTGTCGTTGGGAAATAACAAAGAAGATGGACCATCATCTCATCCATTAAACCAACACAGAAGAGAAAATAGCTAAGGACACTATTCAAGTCCCTGGAAATACGCTATATAAGCTCACTGCTCTAGTCAAAAGAAATTGCAAACGAAAGAAAAAGTTGAAAGCCACAATGGGTTCCTCTCAAAGCACTGAAAACAGTAGCAACAAAAATTTCTTCCAGATTCAGCTCAATGAGGAGAAGGATGCAATTACAAAGGTTGTTGGAGCGGTGGCCGCGGCGGCTGGAATTGCTATTGTGGCCTGGGGTATTTCTGAGCCTAATTTCCCAGCGTTTGGACCAAAAAAAAACAAAGTGAACTAACAGATATGGACAACCGAGACTTGCTCCATTCTTGGTTTTCTCTAGCAGTGGTCTTTTTTTCTGTGTTTTTTTTCTTGCCCCCCGGGGGGTGTTGATCTGTCTCTGGTTGGTTGTGATCTCTGGTGATGTTGTTTTGGTAATCTATCAAGGTAAATGCTAGTTGAAATTAAATCTATTATTCACTTGTCTAAACTTAGTGGCTTTCCAAGTATATACAGATTTGGGAGTAGCATTTACTGGATGAACAAGATAAACAAAAAGGGCAATGAAAAAGGAGAGGATTAGGATGTCAAATAAGCAGGGGGTGATGACCTACCATCATCCCCCTCCCCCCAAAAAAAAAAAAAAAAGGAAGTCTAATTCCAAGTAGCACTTGCAAACGGGTCTCTCCTGGTCTAATAAAAATCTCTATTCTCTTCTATGTATGACATGTGTGACTAGAGAACTGGAAAGCGATTAACAAATTTGAGGAACACAGAGAGTATTATAGCTAATTTGTCTTCTGCTTTGGCATAGAAGAAAATTCAGGGACTATTTGTACTATTTTGTATATTTCAAATTTAAATTATACTAATTGTATTTAATTAAGAGACTTGATACATGTTGATTATTGGATTAATAGTGCAATTATTTAAGTTTGAGATCCACTACGAATCCAATGACAGAATGATCAAGTCCCCACATTAGGCTTCTAATTTACATCCTCCGTTCCTAAATATCTGTAATTTAAGGCTTTTGCATAGGGATTAAGGAAGCTAAAATAACTCTAATATGAGTAAAAAATAATTACACAAGACTAAAATATTCTTATTCAATACGTATTGAAAAGAAAAGGAATATGAAAGGCACTTAGCCTACACTTAATGTATTAAGTACTTATTAGAAAACAGAGATAAGGGTAAACTTGGAAGAAAAAATATTTATTATGCTTTGATTTCATAAAACGACAATATTATGGAACAAAAAAAATTATGTAAAACGACAGATATTTAGGAACGGAAGGAGTAGTTATCAATAGCATTGGAATCACCGAATCAATGCCAACTTTCAATGTTTAGTGGAACTTACAGTTAATATAAATGTTAAATCAACAAATTAGGTCTCGATAGCATTATTTATTTTATTCTGAACTGCTCACTTCTGACTCGAAATTTGTTGCCTTATAATAAAAAATATAATAAGTAGGTGACTCTTCTGGTCCCAGGAATTTGCAATACAAGCATACTGCTTCTCCTCAAAAGAAAACGGCAATCAAAGGTGGAGTGGAATCCCACAATGGCTTTTGCAGTGGGCGTATGGGCTGGAATTACTCCTGTAGCGTATGGTATTTCTGGGCTGCTCTCAATTCCTGAACATAACTTTGAAGCCAAATTCGAAGACGACTCCGAATATTTCCCGGATGACTTCCAGTATGAGTATGATCCACATCACCCATTATATGACCCGGATGACTTCGGATATGACTCGGATGACGATCCATATGACCCGGATGATTATTTCCTCAGCCATGAAGATTAGAGAAGATGTCAGAGCCAAAGGATGGACAGCTGGGCTACCGATGCGGTGTGATTTTGCTTTTCTGATTTTCTCTGTAGCAGTGGTCTTTCATCTTTTGCTCTTTTTTTTATTTATTTTTTTCCGTTTCATTAGAAAGAAATTGATGACGAAAAATTAAAAAAAAAAAGATAAAAAGTGAAGTGAAAGAAAGAAATTGGAAAGAAAATTTTATTTTCTTGTATGTGTTTTATTAGAATGAAAAATTTGCTACAAAAATAACAAAAAATTACTGCCAATAGCTAAATTATTCTTGTTATATCAATCTAATGAAAAAAAGGATAAGTAGGCAAAGCAGGGAAAAATGAGAAAATACTTGTAAACAGTTGAAAACGCAATGCAAGAAAGTTAATAGTTGATGGGGAAAGAGTGTAATTTTTCCTTACACATGTAATTCTCAATATCTATACACCTGAAAAAAAAAACAACAAAATAACATATTAACAATATTCTCATATAAAAAAAAAGGCTAAGGGTAGCGATCCATACTAACCGGCGGGCAATAGAATCCGTCCATAGGCACAAGCAAGCATACCAAATCACATGGATAAACTCCTACCTACACATACTAATTAAGAAAGACTTATTTAGAATTTTATTAGGTTGAAACAAACACATAATCCTTCAAACACAAAACAGCTGTTCATAAGCATCAAATCGTTTACAGCCAAAAACACCCCAAAATCTTGTACAACATAGTCATAAGTTAATGAGGCATAATCCTAATGGAGAAAGTCCAGAAAAGCTTAGAGATCAATAGGTCTTTTCACGGAGTTGGAGAAAATATGATCTGGGGTTGCTTTCAAAGACTTCCCTTGGCATCCTAAAGTTCCTCCCCGGAGCTTTCATCATCTTGACGGCCACCTTCCCTCCGCGGCCGCAGCAGCGGCAACAACGGATGCAACACCGGAGGCACACCAGCAGAATCAACCCAGCGATGATAAAGGGTGCAGCAACTTGGAGCCAGTAGTGGAGTCTCTCTCCTCTGGTCTCTGGTGGAAACACCTTGTCCAACCAAGCTATGAAGTACAGACCAAAGTTCTCAAGCATTAAAAACAGTTGATTCTGCTTGTCTTGAACATTGTTCATCATACTATCTGCTCCAACCTCTTTCAACTTCACCTGCAAGTTGTTCATCATGTTTTCTGCCCCCATTCCCCTCAGCTTGTCCTGTAAATTGTTCATCATCGTTTGTATCCTCATCTCTCTCTCTCTCTCAATTTGATTCCATTCTACTTACCAAAGATATTCAACCTGCTTCACTTAGTGGCTTACATTAATTTTAATAACATAATATCAATGTTAGTGCTCCCCTTGAATTATTGTTCTTCTTTTTATGGGCATGGGTGCTTTTTTGAAAATAAAACAATTACTTTTTAGTACAGTAGTTGTACCCTTTATTTGCAAGCTCTGTTTCTACTTTTCCAAGAACCATCAGCAATGAACTGTTGCGGTTACTTTTTAGTCTTTTGGGAATCATGGCCACGGATGCGAATGTGGGAATCGTATCCAATATAATATGAAGATAGAAATACAATAAAATTTTAAAATATAAGGCATGAGTACAAAAAGAATACGATTAATTAAAATAATAATATATTTTTTTCTATGTATACAAATATTAATAAAAACTAATAAGACCTAACAAACATTAATTTTTTTGTTATAATTAAAATATATTAAAGATTCAAAATACACATCCACCATTTTCTCGGAGTGGATCCACAACATAAGAGTAACAAAAAAAAAAAAGACACGACATAGCAATAACAAAAAGAAAAAGAAAAAGATTGTGGTGGATGCTAGCAGTAACAAAAAGAAAAAGAAAAGGAACATGGTGGATACACAGCACAACAGGCACAAGCACCAGCAGATCTGGAGTGCATACATAGCATAGCAGGCAACAACAACAAATCTGGGGCTTCGAATCAGGGGATTCGCAGTCACAGGTATGATCTTCACTTCCTTCTTTTTCTCCTTATCTCGAGTATTCGGGCCATATCCGACTACAAAAAATTCTCTTCTCCTGTTCAGGACACTTCTAGAAGTGTCAGGACACGTGTCCGGCTGTGTCCCACGCATATCCGTATCGGACATGTATCTGACGCTGCCACGGTGACTCCCCGGCAAGTATCCGTGCTTCTTAGACAACCATTGATCTTGTTTATTTAGGGTTATTTTGAAAATGAATTTTGGTAATGAATAATGTAAAACCGATAAAAAAAAAAGGGGATTAAAAATTGGGACCAAATAGGTTACAGTTGTGACTTAGTTAGATATACATTTCTTTAAATTGATTTTTAAAATATTAAAATTTATTCAAAAAAAAATTAAGATCAACTCTAGTCAACTTCATTTACTTGTAATTTAGTCTATTTAGGTCTTACGTGGATGACTTTTTGAAACAATGTACAAAATCCCTTAAGAAAAAAGTGATAATTACCAAACAACTGCCCTCACTCAATTTCAAAATGCACAAACGGGGATATCTTCAAGACAAGCTTCTGTAGTCACCATACATTACATAACTTTTTTTTTCGGTAAGCAAGATGAATATCATTAAAATCGAAAGAGGTTCATGTACAAAAGAGATTCCAACGAAATGATTGATCTTATGAACATGAGAAAAGAAGATCCTCCACTTTCAAAACAAAAGAAAAATAAAATGAACAAAAAACCAAACAGAAGTAGCAACATTAGCATCATGGTAAAACAACCATCAACCAGAAAGCTCCAGCAAAAAACTCCAGTACTACTTTTGTGTTCCATGTTGATGATGCTCGGATATGTAGGCCCAAGCCCAGCAGATGATATTTTGAGGATTTTGGCAGGTAAGCTAGTCCAAAGGTCAATCTATGGGGAATAGAAGAAAATAATGTGTAAGTGGTTCACCTTAGTCGAGAGACTAAGACTATGTCCACTGTAAGGAAGTCTCTTGCTCCTTGGGATATATATTATTTGATTTAGTAGTGACTACAATGATAGTGCAGGCAAGGGCCTTTACAAGAGCAAAAGCTTCTCGCCCTACCCACCGTGTTGAGTGCTCGAGAGTGTAATGAAGAAGATGATACTCTTTATGGTAGGGTAACAGTGTTCTATGTATACAAGTGATCCCCTTTACGGTTTCCGGTGGTTCCTTCCTCCTTTTTATTGATTCTATGGGCCCTCCTGTTATTATCCTACTACAATCTCTATTATTCGGCGTCACTATGCCCACAATCCCTAGATGGTTATGCGCACCAATATCCTATGCATTAAGGAGTGCATGATTGCCATAGGTGTCAGGTAGTGCGTGATTGTCATGGTTATGCACACTAACACCCTCTGCATCAGGGAGTGCATGATTGTCATAGGTGTCAGAAGTGGTCCCTTTGTCACGTGGCGCGACGAGAGTGTTCCAAAATTGGCGTTAGGCTAGGCTTCCTTATCCTGGGCTGTCCTTTGGTTGAATTGGATTGGGGCTACCTTGGAATGCAAGTCTTTTGGTCCCGTCGGGCTTTGCCCTTTGGATTCGACCCTCTCTATTCTTAATGTGGGCAAGCTGTGGGCACTTCATTTAGGCCATTATGTAAGCAAGGATTTCTTGGACTTATTGGGCTCTTAGACCATGGTGGCCCATATCCAAGATCCCATCATTATTAGTTGCCCCCAGCCTTAGGTCACGAGGATGAGATCAGCTCTGACCTGGGGTTAGAAGCGTCTTTTTTGAATTTGGCATTTTTTCCCTGAGTGGCGGTTGTGCTTAATTGTTGGTTCTGACTTGAGTTGGGCTGTGTTAACATGTGTTTTCTATGATGAGATAGTTATGCACACGTGTCGCCTAGGGTGAGCCCATTGGTACGGTGCCCTTTGCGCGTTCTGTCACATATCTGTCACGAATTAAATGCTATGTATAAAAGAGAGAAAATCTATTCGCCTTGCCCACCTTGAGCTTTTAAACCCTCTTCTTTTCTTGTCTTCATTCCTTCGGTTCTTGAGGCGTCTTGTTCCAAGCTCTTCTGCAATTTTAGGGTTCAGTTCCTTTCTGTTTCTAGCATCCGACTAGGTTCGTTTCTCTTTCCTCTTTCTTTTTGCTCGATCTGGATCCCTTTAACCCTCATTGGTGGGGCTTTGGGTTTCGCTTTCTGATTTCAAGGTTTAGTTACTTCAGGAATCATTCCGACGATTTTTCTTCCCTTTCGCGATTTGTAGATCACTCTCGCTATTGAGGATATCCTTTTTTAGGACTTGGTGTCTAAAATCTTTGTTCTTGACGGATTACGCCTTGCATTTGCCTCCTCTTCATTCTGATTTACGATTTGAGCCACTGATGAGGAGGGTTGTTGTTTCTTCTTCTGAATCTGAGTTTGAGGAACATGTCGATGAGGAGGTTAATGCAGCTTCCTCTAGTAGCCATTCTCTCACTATTGGCGAGGAGGCTTTTGGGTCTGCCTTTAAAGTTTCAACCTTAGCTCCTTTGGCAGAGGCTCAAGCTCCTTTAGCTTTACCCCCTATTCCTTCTGACGAATCGAAGAAAAGGAAGTCTAAGTTGATTCCGCCTTCCATTCCTAGGAAAAAAACTCGTTGCAATCACTCCGACCTGACATGTTGTGCAGAGACAACTCCCAGTTGTCTTGATGACGAGGATCTAAAGGAGCTGAGACAGGAATATCATTTTCCTGATTCTATATCATTGCATTCTCCCGAAGTGCATGAGAGGTGCAATTCCTGTATTCTCGGGTTAACCTGTTTCTTTGAATCTGCATTTCGGGTCGGTCTTTGGTTCTCAGTTCATCCCTTTATTCAGAATGTCCTTGGTTTTTACAATATTTGCCTATTCGGACTGAGGCCTTCTAATCGTATTCATCGTTCACTAATTCGAGAACAGGAATGAATCTCCTCCCACCATTTGAGAATTTGCCTCTCTTTTCCAGCTTAAGTCTTCTCCTTCCTTGAGATTTTTGTATTTTTCCAAGAGGGTAAAGGTGAAGAATATGATTTTTGGGCTTCCCTCCTTCAACAAGGGGTGGAAGCCACGGTTCTTCTTTGCTAGAGATGACTCCTAGGCATTGTCAGGAGAGCCTGGTGATGTTCCTCGCATCCCTAGGTTTTGGGGGGTCCCAAGGAATACTAGTAAGGTCAATTGGTTGGCTATGCTCTACTTCCTATGCTTGTTTTCATCAATATCTTGCTAACTTTTGATCTGACCTGTAGGTTTCTGTCCAACACTTAAAGTGGAGGAGGCGGCCAGAGTTGCTAGAGCCAAAGCCTTTGGGTTGCAAGCTTTTCCTGAACTTGTGACGGACGAGAATCTAGCGAAACACGAGCTTGGGCTACTTGTCGAGACTACTCCAGAGACAGTGCCTCCATTTGCCCCCCAGCCTAAGCCCATGGACTAAGATCTTATCATGGCCGTTTTCTCAGATATGGAGAAAACAAGGAAGAAAAGGAGATTGGTGAAAAGTTCAGATCAACCTCCCAAGTGGGGGCAGGCGTCTGTTAGCGAGGAGGAAAAACGTGAGGTTCTTTCCTCCCTTGCGGGTGTTAACTTACCTCTCTCTCTTCGAGGGCAAATCTATGATCGAGGGGTCTTTGCCTGTGCAGCCCACAACTCCATCAACTTCCCATATCCCTCCAAAACTTGTTTCTCAGAAGGCTGACGAGGGAAAATCTGTCCTTCCCCAATCCAAGGCCCAGAGGGATGGTTTTCTTTGTGACTCTAATGTCGCGATGGCCACTCTGATCAACTTGGTTCCTACATCAGATCCTGCCGGCTAGGCGTGCTTCTTTCAAAAGCAAGACTCATCGCACCATTCGGGGCTTAGCTGAGGTATTCTGAGTTTCTTTTTTAGCCTTCTTCCCCAAAGTGTTTGTTCCTAGATGTCTTTATGGTTCTCCTTATACTAACTAGTTTCCTTCTTTGTTAGTCGCTCGCTTGCGTGAGGATGATGGATTCCCATTATGAGCAGGAGCTGACAGAGGCCCAGGCTGAGGCTACAATGGCAGGCAAAGAGGCTGTGATGGCAGGCAAGGAGGTTGCTGAGGGGAAGGTGAAGATTCTATCATCTGAGACTGCCAAGCTGAAAAGGGTTCACGACGAGCTGGACGTTCGCTACCAGGACCTTTCTAAGCTCAAGGATATCCAGCTGAAAACCCAAGAAGTCGATCTTAAAGTAAAAGACACCGAACTAGCGGCCAAGGACACCGAGTTGGCCTCTTTAAGGACCAACATGTTTGAGCTTCTGAAAAATGGCGTTGTTGCATTTATGAATGGATTCTTGAAT